CTAAGTTTTTAAGCCACTCTTGAAGACCAGCAGATTATCTGTCTTTATACTAAAAACAGTCTTAAAGTATTTTGTTTGTGCTATAATGTTTTTTTGTTTTGTTTTAACGATAAAGAGAGGCCACAATTTAAAAATTAAGTCTTGTTATGTTTTTCTGTAAGTTATATGGAGTCATAATCACTCTTAGGTTCTCAAAAGTGGATGCGTGTTTTTTTATTTCTTCCTGAAAATTCCAAATAATTTCCCTGGAGTTTCTTTGTTAATGTGATGACTTAATAATCACCTCCTTATATTCTGGTGTAATGTGTTGTTCGTTACATTTTGGTCTAAATGATACTTTTAAGATTTGGGTCATAGAATGTTTCATGTCTGATGTTAAAAACTAGACCCTGCTTTCTTCAAAGAACATACATAACTACAGTTATATTAAACTTGCTACTTCAATCTGTGCAATAACCACAAGTAGAATATTGTAGTTAGTAGAATGCTGAAGAAGCAGACTTTGCACAATCATGGCTCTGTTCTCACTGACTGCTAAAACTACAGGAGGTTTGAGCTAACTCGTACATCATCGTTGATTTTTTTTTTTTAAATAAACTAAGATTTTATTAGTAAAGTTAAAAAATCTTGTATTTATTTCAAAATGTAATTGGTTTTGTGATAAATATCTCAATAATCTTTTTTTTTTTTTTTAAATTGGCATCTTGAAAGTAGCTTATTTCTGTTTGGATTGTTTTCTTATTTTCTTTAGTTATTGAATAATTTCTTGCTAGTTAACTTGTTGAATAATAATATAAAGTAATGGAAAGAATCGTAGAAATTGACAATTATTGACGGAGTTTCCAAGCCCTAGATTACGTGTTAGAACTGATTTCTTTAGATAATGATGTCAAGTTTTAAGAACCTTTTATGTATGTTTCTAAGTGTGACTGGATAGTGTTTGAGAACTAAACAGGATTTTATTATAATAAGTAGTATTTGAGATGTAGAAAATAGTTATTTTTAATGGATATGCGATTCCGTATAATAACCTCAGAACATCGTGTACATTTTTTTATTTCACTCATTGCATCGAATTTATTCCACAGAAAATTCCTGTTTTCAGAAAACTTTTAATTTCTTTGGGTTCTACTCAATCTTCTACTTTCACATTTTTACCTGACTGTATTAATCGCAACTGTACATAAAGTTTACTAAACAATAATATTCTTAACAATACAATAATGGGTTTGTTACTTTTGTCCTCTGCTCACCTGGTTTTTCAGTTGTGCTTGTTTTTTTTCTTTAGAGAGGTGTATCATTAAAATTCACCAAAAATATATATATTAGGATTTAGTTTTACAACTACTTTAAAAGGGCAGGCAGTAACAGTATGTTGTAAAAAATTTATAGCTATAACATTTCTCATTATGTTAGTCAAATATTTTTACATGATTTTGTTAACTGACTTCTTTTCGTAGAAAATGGTAGAATTTTCTCAAACTTTTAATAATTTCTCTTACAGTTCTTATGTAAAAAAAAGTATTTACGAACTTAAAACATAATGTTCTTTTTATGGTAGATATTGACATGTTTTATATTTTTATTCGTGATATTTCACCATTTTCTGTATTATTTTGAAGGAAAACAAGATGAACTGATCGTGAATCCAGTTTAACTTGTACTCTTTGTTCAGGTTTAAGATAATTAGACTTTAACATATTAACTTGGAACTTCTAGATTGTAGGGAGGGTAATAAGAGTTTAAGCAACATCGAATGATCTCACCTAACAAGGGTGTTAAGGAAATAAAGTGTTACTAAATTGAACGTAAACTTGAGTTTAAACTGCTCTTTATCACTCTTGCTTTCTCTTTCCTTGTCAAATAGTTTAAGTACTGGTTATATTAACTGTCACATTTTCTCGGAAATAACATCTGGGACTTTCATCTAATGCTGTCTTTGGAAGGTTTCGTCTTGCTTGACTTAAGAAATGTTTGAGACTGAGAAAGAGAGAGAGAGAGTGTAATAATTTTTAATTTCTTACAAAGATTTTTTATCATTTTGTTTTAAGATAGTGTCTTCTGTGATACCGTAAGAAACATTTAGTCATTATTAACACTATGATAAGTTGCTGGTGATTAATGACATATCGTAGCTTTAAAACCTGTAATCTTTACTACTGGCCACTGAAATTAAGTTGATATATACTAGTGCCAACTACCAAGTATATGTACACCCTTAGTTGAGATCTTTCAAATGGCACAAGTTATCGTAGTTATGTGTTGCATGTAATGGCTTTAAAAATGCATCCTTTTGACTTGTTTCTTGGCTGTGTGACAATTTCTGGAAGTTATTTGCTGTAACTGTAATACAGGTAACATTCAGAACTACAGAAATGTTTATGAAACTAAGGTTTTCCTGACAGTAATTGATGTCTATACAAACTTGGCCAGGACTTAATAGTTGTGTGATATGAAGTAGTGTTTGTCACTGAATGGGAAAGGTTAAGTAATTATTTATTTTATTAATTATTGCTTATATGAATAAAGGACAAAGTGCATAAGTATTTTTTGGCATGGCTGCAGAACAGGCACAAGTCTTAACAGTACAATCGTTAGTACTTTTAAGAGTCTGAGGGCCCCCCCCCCCCTGGTGGTTCAGTGGTAAGTATCATTTCTAATACTAACATATGAGGTTTGATCCCCAAATCAGTCATGGCGCAGATAGTCAATTGCTTACCTTTGCAGTAAAGTTCTGTGGTAGACACGGTGAAGATGGCTTGTTGCGAAGCTTTGCACAAAAACCAAACAACAATGTGTTTTTAATTTTCAGTAAGGCACAGAAGAAAACATTCAGTTAATAACTTTATTTAGTGTACTGACAACGCAAGTCTCGGTCTTGTTCTCCATGCATAATCCATTAAATAACTTGTTAAAATGTAGTGGTAAGTTGATTGTTGCTACTACGGTAGTGGTTTACGCAGATTACCACGTTATTAAATATCTTACGGTTGAGGTGTAGACATTATATGCATTTATAGAAGCTGGTGAAGTGTTTTACACTTGATTAATGTGTATTTGGTGCTTATTATTGCTACACACTTGCAGATTGAGTTATAACTCACGAGCACATCTCTCGGAACAGGCTTGGAAACAGTATTTAAAATTATCACCTCATCTGTATCATGATACACATTTTTTCATTATTGTTGAGATTCATAAATACTGAAGCAAACCGCAGTTGTTTTGACAAGTCGTGAGGACTAGATGGATCGGGAAGTTTTTGATCGTACAGTAGTGTTTCTGGCATTACAGAAAACATTTAACCAAATGTCCGACACACACACACACACGGCACAAGAGATTGATTGAAGTGACAAGTTTTGTTTTTAACTAATCGGTTTCATATCGTGCTTTCATCACGTTACAACTTTAAACATCAAATGTGAATTTTTGGTGTAGAAAGTCTTACAGCTCTAGTGTAGAAGCACTGTGCTTCTGAATCTGTTTTAGATAGATGCCGATCTTAATTATGTTCACTCAAACGATCTCAAATCAATGACTGTTTTGTAAATAGGCTGTAATGTGGTAGTCACCCATTGTTGTTGTGGTGAATGGCGATTAACTATAATGAACTTACACACTCTGACTTTGTTGTATTTAAAAGGTGAAATAAAATTTTTCTAAAAGTGATTTTTTACTTGACTGTGTTTCCATACATATAAGAGTAAATTTGTTTACAACAGTAAAGAGCCAATCACCGTTACGTTAGAAAACAAACTTCAGTAAGCTGTTAACAGTGTACAACTGATAAAACCTGATAACTCTTTCCAGTTGCACCTACCAGGCAAGATGTGTTCAAAATGGCTCAACATCTTGTGGAGACGTTCTAATGGCGGTGTTTTAAATTGTAGCAAGTTTGTTTGTCTGTAGTGTTTCACTTTCAGATTTACATGTGTGTGCATATGTAATTTGAAAGTACCAACTATCCAATTAATACTATTTATTCTTTACTGAAATGCATGCTGTACACTGGTCTTTACCAAATGAAAACAATCACTATAAGAAAAAAAAGCTTGCATTAACACTATAATTAATTGATGTTAAAGTGAAGTTTTTTTTAATCACCTACATTATTGATTGTGGCCGTTTCAAGTTAAACCAAGTCACGAGAAACTGCTCCGTTTCCCTGTTAAACCGCTCCTTTCCCTTTGTACACTGAAAATTTATATCACTCGGTCTCAAGGAATGCTTTCCTTCCCTCAAGTATCTCACAATCTGTGAGCACACTTTCTAACATATATTTAAATATTAACTTTCAAAGCAGTTGATGAATATGTGACTAGAACTTTTGTAAAAGAACTGATCGGGTCATCTGTTGTCTTTTCCCTCACTCAAAAGGTGATTTACAGATCCCCAGTGTAGCCCATCCCCTTCTGGCAAGTGGGCTGACGGCAGGAGTACGTGTCTCCACGATCTAGAGCATGACAAGAGAAGAAATATTGTAACACCGTTTTAAAAACGAAAGGAAGAATTATTACAGAGAAATAGTAATCTTCTGTAGTATATTATGGAAAAAATTAACCATGAACTATTTTCTAAAACTTATAAAAGTCCAGATTGTTATAGTAACTGTGTCACTGAAACAGATCAGTTTTATAGACTTGAAGGTGAACTCTTCATATTTAATTTAACGTTAAAGTTGTTTTAAGTACACTAATGTTTACCTCTGAATCTTACCAAGGTTTTATAAAAAAAAATTAATGAAATTGGTATCTGGCTTAGATACTTTGAAATTAAGTATTCCTGCTAATTCAACTTTAGTTTGGTACAGACCTACTGGAGCTGGATCACTTTTTAATGTCTTTGTAGTTAACAGTGGCACAGTTCTTTTTCCTTTGTAAATTATCTTCAAACTATGACATTTAAGTTGGTTTCTGAGTTTAGATACTTCCTGCCGACCACTACAGATAAAACATCCAAGTTACTGCGAAACATGAACACACATTTATATGTGTAAAACTGCCCCTTTTGTTAAACTTAAGGACTCCCAAGTGCTCTTTCTACTCACGTACTTACCAAATTTGCTTTGTACTTTCACAATTCTTACAGTCTGACATACTTCATTTAAAACATTACTCATCAAGCAGACTAAATCATTTGTCTAAAGATATATTGAAATAATCGTGGTATCTGTATGTACATTATTTTTAATAAAATTAGAATCCAGACTCTATTTATCCACACAAACTACTAACCTGCCATGTGCGAGGCCTAGAAATAATCTCCAATTTCTTTTGGGCCCAAAGTTGTATGGGTTTCTATAAATCTAAAACACAAAGTCATCATGAAGCTCCACCTGCTGGTGGTTTACTACATCAACAAGTACAATATAAGAGATAAAGTTTTAACATGATTGATGTCAAACGTTTTCTCTATAATTAAATATATACAACTTTTTTACATTATCAGTTCTTTACCTAATGATCAATCAGGATATTTAATAGATCATCATTGTTGACGAGCCATTAACTAATCCTTTCGGCCCTATCGACATCTGGATTTAAATACAATACAAAATCATATTGAAAATATCATAAATCTTCATTTTCTCACTACACATAAAGTAATCAGTAATTAAGTCTAATACGGAAAACACCAGCTAACCACCCAAAGTCATTTTTCTTTAGGTTTCAATAAAGTATTGAAGCTTCTAATGGAAAAATTTTGTCAAGTTTTTTTAAAACAACACTATCATTTTATCACGAACATGTATTTATAATGTAAATGGAGGTTAAGTCCATTAAACGCAACAGTGTGGAAATATAATACTTTCATTTGTTTATGTATTTATAATGTAAATGGAGGTTAAGTTCATTAAACGCAACAGAATACACTTGCCAGTATTTTAGGAAATACTAAATATATTAACTTATATTCCATATATGCAAATTTATGTAAAAACAAATAAACACAGACAATAAGTGAAAGAACACTTTCTTCAGTCTACAGGGTTTTAAATCTATTTTACTTCACTTTATAGTAACCTAAATTAATTTAGGAAGATGAATAATGTTATGAAATTCATTATTTGATATTAAACAGTAGACCAACTGTTTAATGTCTGCATATATATATATACGTTAAAAGATTTCTTTTCTAACAGAGGCCTAACTGTGCTGACGAGCCTTGAATAGGGGAAACTGCAGTTCGCAGGTGTGTGTACGGCTAATCAAAGAATGCATTAGGCCTCTACATCACAGATTCTCCTTTCTATTTTACCTCTGGTGGAAAACAAAAGAAATCTTTAACATGTTATATACAATAGCTTTCATTGTGTGTTGAATTTACCAGTTATTTTAAAAATAACTTCCATATTTCATTTTTATTACATCATATACACCAACTTGAAAAAAACAACTTTTATCCAATAAACGGAAACACATATTTCTCTGTATTTTTCATTATCATTGAGAAATAGTTTTAAGTTTGATTACATGATAAGCTCTTTTGCTCAACACACAACATTTTTTATTAAAACAAATAATATTTTAAGTTATTTTTTTTGTCACCATCCACAAAACTTTTGCTTTTTTAGGTTTGTGAGCCTAGTACGCTATGACTATCATGAAAGTGGTACGAGTCATAAATGTATTTAAATCATTTTTTTTATACATTATTTACAATAATGCCTTACTTTTAAATTCACTGTATGTAAAACCCTATAACTAAAACTTACTTGTCCCACTGCTTTCAATCTGGCAGTTTCTTTTTTGTTGATATGAGCTTCGATGCTACTCTCTCCACGAGTGATAAGACGAGCGTGCCACATAATTAGTGCACCCAGTGTAAAGAAAACACCAATACACAACAATGATGCATAGATGATACAGAAATGATAGAGGGATGATAAGAGAGACTTCTGTGTATTATTTTCTCCTGTTGATCTGTTCATGAAACCAGTAGCACTGTTTATCTACAATTAGAACAGGTTATGAAATGTTATACTTTAAAAAATTACTATACTTCATATAAAAACTTGTATCAAAATTATTTGTTTGCTGAAATACCCCCCACAAAATATTAGTAAGCATATAAATTTGCTTATTTGGATGAAACTAAACTTGTTTAAAATGGAGAACAATAAAAAAGAACATGATTAATAGACGTTTAGAGGCTATATAGATTCCTCGTTTAGTGATCTAGAAGAAAAGGGAATGCCTATATAAAATTGCATAACAAACAATTGAAATGAGTGTGAATTGTTAAATGTGTTTTTTATTTAATAAGGTTAATTCTATTACAAATGTAGTTTCAGGTTTAGCTGTAGTTAAAATTGTGAAATTAACACAAAGGAACTGGCATTTTGTGTTTTTGTTACGATGGCCCAATGAGGAGAGGAAGGTTTACTGATTTTATTACCTGTTTTAACTGACAATCCAACGTGTTCATAAGATGACATTTCTTTTACCCAAAACAGGAGGCTTTCCAGTCTCCATACATGTATAAATACACAAGCTTAACTGTTCATTAAAGAAAGCCTTCTAATATTTAATAATTCACAGTTCTCATTTCAACTGAATATACTCTTAATTTCCCAAAGTAATTTATGTGTTTTAATTATCTTACTCAAAGTAGGCTTACCAATTAATATTAAAGTAAAAATGTAAAATTAAAACCATTTTACAAAACCTAACATTGTCCATTTCCTCTAGTGATATTTAGAAACTCTTAGTAAACACGTTTTTATTTTCACCATTGTTTCTCGTCACAAACTCCTAACAAAGCAATTACAAAAAAATCTAAATGTTAACTTCTGTTTTTTTTCAAGTAGTTAATATGATTTCTTATGCTCTTAATTATCACAATTAATATTACTGAATTAATAGTTATGAAAAAGAAAAAAGGGAAATAAAGCAACTCTCCAAGTAAGATGGTGTCGCTGGAAAACAAAACAACGATAATATTTTAAGATTGTTTAATGCCTAATTGAATTAGATATTATTAGGGTTATACAATGTAATTAGACAGATCAATTTGTCAAGTTTCTGTGGTTTATCAATATCTATTTAAAACTAATTCCTACCTGCTCTTTTCCTTCTTCAAAAAAGTGGTCCCAAGCAATTGACCAACCGAAGAACATCAAAAATATCACTCCAAGCCACATGTAGACACAAAACAGAAAAAAATATCGGTGATTGAAGTGGCCGATACAATTATTCAACCAAGCTGAAGTTAGATTCAAGGATGAAATATTAACTCACTCTGAAGCACACTTTGTTTGGAACCGTTGAAATAATGCAATTATATATATCGTTCAACAGAAAAGTCTGTGTAAAACCGGTTCATTTGGAATGAAAAGTTTCAAAGTCCAGTAAGCACTTTAAGATAACACAAATCAATAAGATGATAGAAATAAGCCCCATTGTAAAGATTATTATTCAAAAATTGCCTTGAACCATTCATTAATTTATTTAGTGTTGAAGTTTTTTAATGAAAAACTATTTTAAAAGTATCACTCTTTGGCCTCAAAACTTAGTTTGTTTAAACAATTTTATTTTTAAGTTGGTAATATTATAATGGATATCCAGTCTAAGCTAAGGTTATTCATTCTACAAGAATTAATTTATGTAATCCTTTTCTTAAACTAGTTTTACATTCGTTATTTTCTCTAAAATATTTCTGTCAGTTCAATTTTACATTTTTGTTTTGTTTGTAATTAATTGATAAGACAAAACCTAATATTAAAGCAGTCTCTCTAGAAAGGAACTATCACCATTTAAGCTAAGTTCAGGTTTTGAAGCATTTTTTTGTGTGTGTGTTAGAAAGAGCCAGAGTGAAACTAGACATTTATCAGTCATAACATTATTTTAATACAAATTTAATTCTTATGACTTCCATAATCCCTTATTCGGTTATTTATGTATTTCTTGTCAGTTATCGGTTTTACAACACATTGAAGTGAATGTCAGTACGTCAGTTTTGATTAAATAACTTTATTTTAGGGTTATAATTTATCTTTATTTAGGCATCAGATGTAACACTTTTCACACACACACATGGAAATATTTAAAATGTTACCAAAGTTAATCATAAGTGAAGATGTAACAACACTTTTCACACACATACACACACATGTAAATATTTAAAACGTTACCAAAGTTAATCATAAGTGAAAATGTAACAACACTTTTCACACATACACGGAAATATTTAAAATGTTACCAAAGTTAATCATAAGTGAAGATGTAACAACACTTTTCACACACATACACACACATGGAAATATTTAAAACGTTACCAAAGTTAATCATAAGTGAAGATGTAACAACACTTTTCACACATACACGGAAATATTTAAAATGTTACCAAAGTTAATCATAAATGAAGATGTAACAACACTTTTCACACATACACGGAAATATTTAAAATGTTACCAAAGTTAATCATAAATGAAGATGTAACAACACTTTTCACACACACACAGAAATATTTAAAATGTTACCAAAGTTAATCATAAGTGAAAATGTAACAACACTTTTCACACACATACACGGAAATATTTAAAATGTTACCAAAGTTAATCACAAATGAAGAACCTTTTTTTAATGCTTCATCTAAAAAAAGATACGGCAATGATGATCCATCTTCAATATACAATGGTCACAGACACTACAATGATGGGTGCGTGGAGGTTTTGGAGCGATACACTTTTTACAAATAGACACTGCTTCTTGAATTAAGATTCCCTGAAAAAAAAGTAAACTCATTTGTCTTTGCACCTTCTCTTTAACTTCAAATGTAACATGGAATATATAATTTAAACCTAATTAAGACCACGGATACACGCACTTTCCCACAGTCACTCAACAGGACTCCCCACTACCTTTAGCGTAACTTTGACGAATCATCTCACTGTAAAGTACGTTTAACACGTGATAAAACGTATCACTCTAAACTAGTTATAACCTTTAGACAAACAAAAATATAAAAGTCTGTACATTTTCCGATCTAGAATGTGAACCTATCCTGGCTCATGTGAAATAATGTTCTTTTAAGCTTGATAATATAGTACGTATTCCTGGTTTTGGATTAAATATTATAAAATCGAAACTAGATACATGTATACTAGTTTGAATCTAAATGATTTATTTGTTGGAAGGTTTCTGAATTAAGAGGCCACATAACACAGCTACAAACGTTACACACAAGACTCGCTAATGCACGGTTGTTACCCATTGCTAGACCAACTACCAGTCTCTGCTGTATATTCTAAGTCTTCACTAGCTCAGTAAAGTTCCAGTTTTTTACCAGCAGATACAAACAACATAAAATACGTTACCTCAGGTGGAAAGCCTGCTGATGTTTTGAATGCCATGTAGTAGTGGAAGATAATGTTCACAAGAAGCCAGTGGCCTATTGTTACTGCTACTATGGTAACAGTGATGCTATGACTGATCCAGTAAGGAAGACCGATGATGTAGGCAATAGCAACAACAGACAATGTAAGAAAGATGACTCCAGAAACAAATATCTAAAATAATAACATCTACTGTGTTACACAATAACTAAAATAATAACATCTACTGTGTTAAACAATAAATAAAATAATAACATCTACTGTGTTAAACAATAACTAAAATAATAACATCTACTGTGTTAAACAATATCTAAATAATAACATCTACTGTGTTAAACAATAAATAAAATAATAATATCTACCGTGTTAAACAATAACTAAAATAACAACATCTATTGTTAAACAATAACTAAAATAATAACATCTACTGTGTTAAATAATAACTAAAAATAATAACATCTACTGTGTTAAACAATAACTAAAATAATAACATCTACTGTGTTAAACAATATCTAAAATAATAACATCTACAGTGTTAAACAATATCTAAAATAATAACATCTACAGTGTTAAACAATAGCTAAAATAATAACATCTACAGTGTTAAACAATATCTAAAATAATAACATCTACTGTGTTAAACAATAACTAAAATAATAACATCTACTGTGTTAAACAATATCTAAAATAATAACATCTACTGTGTTAAACAATATCAAAATAATAACATCTACGGTGTTAAACAATAACAAAATGTATGATCCATATTTTGAAGGTATATTTTATATTCATATATATATAAAACATTATCAAGAAATAGGAAAAACTTACATTGTTTAACATAAGATAACACAACAGTGTCAACACAAGTTAAATAGATGTTTCAGCAAACATCTATAACTTTTACTCTACAGTTCATTTTATAAAGAATCAACACATTAAAATCCAATTTTAAGCTGCAAGTTTTACATTTATTACTAAAGAAAAAAACATGGTGAAAGGGTACCGTTTGGTCCTTCAAAGCTCTACTTGAACATCAATTCTTGAGAAAAGTAAATATTTATATCCATCCTTGATTGTTAAGGAAATCAATAATTCCCTCTTAAGCTCCCGTTTAGAGCTGACTTAAACTAATACTAAATTTCACTCATTATATATGCCAAACACTGTCAGAAAAATAAATCTGTACTACCTGGAATCTAGCCTATATTTTTAAAATTTTAAATCTGTATTCTATTACCTTCAGAGGCCTTTATTCTGGTGATCTCCTGGATAATCTTGTAAACTTCAAAGAAAAATTCAGTTGGGTTCAGATCGAGGTGTTTAAAGTGGTTAAAAGAACTGATAGTGTCGATGCATCTTTTTTCATATTTAAGGGTGAGAATGATAGGTCTACGGGACACAAATATCAATTTTGGCTGGGTAGGAGTCATCTTCAGTTAAACAAGCTTTACTTTTCTAACACTAACAGAGTGATTGGTCTTGGGAGTGAATTACCTTCAGACATAGTGGAAGCAGTTAATTTAATGGAGTTTAAAGGAAGACTTGATAATTATCTGAATGATAAGGACTAGCTTTGAGAGTTTTATTTTATTAAGTTAGTTTAGTGGATGGGACAGCCTAGATGGACCAACAGATCCCTTGTTGTACTGAAATCAATGTTTTTAATATAGTCCTTCCCTGGACCCTATATTTCTTAGACGAACTGTCCACTGTAAACCAGGAGAAAACTAGCTAGTGATTTGTTATTAATTTGTATAAATAAACCCTAAAAACAATAAATTTAGATAATATATATATATATATGTAATACTTACTGGACCTAGAGCTTTTGTAAAATGATCCACAAACCATATCAAAGGTTCCATGCATATGTCTCCAATATAATAGATATCTAAAAAGCTGTTGTAAAACAGGGAACATATTGTATACTTTATTAGATGACATTTCTTCTTAATTGTTTCCAACAGTCGCTGGCCACAAGAACTAACTGTCCAGTAAATACGGGCCATTTTCTTTATCAATCTCTTTCTTTGAGCAACTCAGTATCACTTTTATTTTTTGATAAACCATTAAGACGTTAGCTCTATCAAAAATCTTAAAAATTTAAACCTATATCTACAGCCTTTGTGCTCAATGTTTTTTAGTTTGAGACTTAAAAAAGCTTGATATTTAATTTAAATTTAAAATATTTCTTAACTCAAAATACTTTTCTCGATGTACTTTCCCACCTAAGTATCTTACCGAATCACAAGTCACAGCAAAGCGGCAAGTTCGTGCCTAAACAAAGTGAACAATAAATTAATTATATGATAAAATGATACGACTAGATAAACATTATCCATGAAGCATAGGCTAAAACAGATTACTAAAACTTAAATTAAAAGGACTGTACTGTTAAGTTACTATCGGTAATACTACGCCCGACATTCAGCTCCAAAGTTCGAGCTATTACTATTAGTACAACAGAACTATTGACTGTATTGTATTCACTTCGCTTTGGGCAGATCCATGCATGTTGATGAACTTCATATTCATAATGAGTTTCCTTTTAGAAAATGTTATAAAAGGTTCATATTAAAATACTACTTAATATTTCTGTAAGTTCCTAAATCACAAGTAAAACAAAAAAGCTCAGCAAACGCTGAATATAAATATATCCGATACAGTTAATTATCTCCACTTTCAGTGAAGAGTTTAATTGAAAGAAGTCATCTAGTGGCCAAAAAGGCCTGAAATATCAATGTGTATTCTTTTCTTTTTTCGGAGAAAATTAATTTACACTTAAATTTTATAAATTTGTGTTATAAATGGCAAAATAAAATTATGGGCAGAAACTGTGAAAAGAGTTGTTTAACATACTGTACCAAAATATTAAAAGAGTAGCATAAAATATAAATGTCAAATTAATGGATGATTTATTGCTGCCTAATTGATCACACTACTTCTATCAATTGCGTATCTCTATTTCATTAATATTGGCTCAGCGGTATGTTTGAAGGCTTATGAAGCTAAAATCCGCATTCCAATACCCACATTTAGCACAGCACAAATAGCCATTGTGTAGTTTTGCGCTTAACAACAAACAAGCATTAATATTATTTTTATTTTATATGAATTTCATTCGTAATTACACTATTATTCACTGTATATGTTCAATATTACATAGTTTTTCTGTGTTAACTGCTTATTATACATTTATTTTAAAATTATTGTCTAATTTACTTTTACTATAAGTTGTTTGTATTGCATATTGAGTTTGGGCAATTTATTTGCATCTATATTTAGTCTTTTGTGCTTACTTATATATTGCTACTACTGGAGTTTCTGGAAGGAACATTAATTTTTCTGGCAATTCTAGTTTGTTCGAGGCGCCCTCTTTTTTTAGAATATAAGCCTGGCGAGAAAAACCAGCGCTATTGGATAGATGGAATAGATAGGCAGAGAGATATGCAGATAGAGATAATTGAGTCAAGCGAACAATAGGCGCCGTAAGTAAAGTGTGTGAATCACTGTGATTTATAGCGTATGTTATAAAAATTGTTAACTGTATTACAAAGTTTGTATCAAGAAAGAATAAACAAGTTTTAATCAAGAAGGGATTTGTATCACTGAAGTTTCTCGAAAAGAATTTTTACCGGAAATTATCAAACAAGCAGATAGCAACGATATATAACATTCTGAGTATACTTCGTGAATTTTACGATTTAAAATTATAGGCAGTATCTTTTTTTTCTTTTTCTCTTTACTGTCGTAATGTCACTACATTTGAGTTTGACTAATCATCTTAAGGAGAAATTCTTATGGTATTAGTTTTTCGTCTTTTAAAACTGGTGATAATACTTGTAAATATTACTGTCTTATTACACTGGGCCTTATTTGAAAATATATTTCAAACTAGCTGGAGTACCCGTCCCCTGGACGGAAGTTATGTAAATTCATGAAAAGTTGCTTCCCTTACATGTATTTGTAAAAGAACGCTAAAACACCCACAAAAACTGCAAAACACAGTACTATTATACTTATATAGATTATTATGAGCACGAACACAAACTGTAATTATATCAACCAATATATAGATTAATATAATAAATCACATAACAAAATATATAAATTCAAGAATATATGGTTTTATAATAAAGTATATATATGTACTAGTTTATAATATTCCTATATATATAACAATATTACTGAGCTTTTCATTTTCTACGCAGTAGAGGATGCGCTAAATAACGAGCACGTGGTGTGTTGAAAACAAAAATTCTAAGTTCAAAAAGAGTGATTGTCAATTGCGACCTGTCTGTTTAATTTTACCAAAATATACATAAAGTAATATGATTTCTACAAGGATTTTAACATTAAGGAGCTGGAAAAGAATTGGATACATGAAATTTCAGAGAATAACAAGTGCAAGGAATGAATCTTCTCAGACTAACAACACCAATTCAAATGATCAAGAAGGAAAACCCTCGGTTTGTAACAAACAACCTTTATATTATTATTAAGGTTTTATTCAGTATAGAGCTTAGAGCATTTTCTGTCATCGTAATTGTTCCTAAATTGTGTTCATTACCCCCATCTTTACGAACAAAAGTTTTATTTTTTACAATTATTAAAACTAAAAGCATCGTGAATAACTTTTCTCTCTAAGTTTAAATTTATTAATCCAAGGAGAATTACTCTTCAAAACTTGTAAAGTCTTGTTTTTAAACGTATATTAGCTTTCTAAACTTTATTATATAGTGTAAAATTAAAATATTATATTTCATTCTTTGTTAATTTCAAGTTTAATACCAGTAATACTAATAGTTGAAACGAGGATATACTCTTTCACATAGTTTGCATAACACCTTCAAATTTTACAAAACTACTTGATACTAAAAAGATATTGATTCTGCATAGTTACTGTGTGAGTTAAAATACAGATATGTTCTGCATAACATATTGATATAATGACTTAAAATAAAAGTTGATTTTTTCATAATTATCAATTGTACATAATAATTTTAATATTGATTCAGCACAATAGGTCAACTCTGCATAATGGGTTGCAAGGAACTGATTCTTCATACCATATATTCTCTGTAATGATAATGCACGTGCATATCTTTCCTTGATGTATGCAGCTTTGGTTTTATGTTAACTTGTTAATGCTGAATCAACCCATTATACAGAATACACCTGTATTTTAACTCATTATGTAGAATCAACATTTCTTACTGTTGACTAGTTATGCAACTTTGCAATTTGTGCAAGATAGTGCATTTCATTTAAAACATCCCCTGGCTTCATTCTTTAAGGTATGTTTTATGAAAACTGCTAAGCCTCATATGTTAGGTAAAACTCTGCATTTCTGAATGATAATAAAGTTATTGTGACCTTGCAAAGTTCATAGTAATTAACTAGATTGTGTACTTATTTGTAAAATTTACTCTACAAATATATCATTATAATATTATTAGGAAGTATGATATTGACCAATTTTATGTTTATAACATACTATATTCTTGAACCAGTTAATTAGTTTGCTGTTAATTAAAATTGTCAATTAAAACAATTTTTTTTTTTATAGAAACGTGGTCTAATCCTCGGAGTTTATGAAAAACAAGACAAAAGTGAAGGCATTATATTTACATCCTCAGCTGATAAATTTAATAAAGTGACCAGTGGGAAGCTACAAGAGCATTTAATTTTGTAAGTTATAAATTTTTAGTTGTAAAAAAAGATTTATGAACTGATTTTAGGATACTTATGTAATATGTTCTATTTAAAAAAAAATTTTTTTGCTTTTTCTTAGGTAGCAATTGAATTTAAAATATAAGAACATTTTAAATATATCTAAATTATTTCTTAAGGAATATATAAAAAAAAAATCTGTGAGACACTTTCATTTTAAATTTCCTTTAACTTAAAAAATGAGTATTTTTATAGAGTGGTGTATTTAGTAAACATTAGACATTTATTGTATTTTGTTAAAACTAAATAACTTTGATAGAATGGGTTGAAATCGGTTTGTTTTTCTAACCCCGTATGTTGTTGATTTGTATAATTTTATAGTTAATTTTTTTATACTTAACAATGTACATGTATATTTTAATATTGTAGTATTGAAACATTATTTTATTGTTCTTGTGATAACTCCTGTACTTTAAAAAAAAAAGATGTTGATATACCTATTTAATACAATATTTTTATATTTATATAAAAACAAAGCTTAAAACTAAATAAAAAATCAGTTATAAGACCTGTTTAAGTATAATAATTAAGGACATGAAAATTATTTCAACCTATTTCAGGACATTCTAGAGAAAAAAGTTTGTGAAGTACTATTTTTATAATTCTGTACAAAATTAGAAACTTAAATTATTTAGATATAACCTTAAGAAAAAACAATATTCTAATATATATAGCTACTATTTTTGACTAAAAATCTTCAAAATACTGAAGAGTTTTGGCCAGTTAGTAAAATTTTACAGAAGTTTAAATGAAATATACCCATTTCACTGCACCCTCACCCTAACATAAAATAATCAATAGTCTTGTAGAGTATTAAATAAAGTGCACTTTCATTCTAAAATGTAATTTAACTTTGTTTGTAAGGAACTAAATGAGTAATTTCAGTATTTTATAATTGTTTTTTTTTGTTTTTTTAGGTCAGGTTCATCTCTTAAAAAAGGAAAAAACAGAATATTTTATGGATTGGATAAGGTAATTTGAAGATATCTTTTAACTAATCATAACTTCAAACACACAGGCAGTTAAATAATAGAAAACTAATATTTCCTTTTATTTTAATTGGCTATTTTCTATCATCAGCCTTCAGTAACTTGAAAATTAGCTTTTAATGGAATTTCCTCTGATAAACCCATCTAAAAATTAGCTTTTTTGGTATAGGCAGATAGATTACTTTCACTTCAAAAGACATTCTATGTATTAAATTTAACAAATTATTAAAGAATTTTATTATTCATGTTTATATTGTAAAAGTAATAAAAATGTATAACCCTAATGCATGATAATCTAAAAATGAAATATTTCTTCAAGATTAATTCTAAACAAATGTTTTTGGCAAATATTTTTTACAAAATTTAAACAAAAAAATTTTTTTTCAGGAGTATCCATGCGTTTCTGTTGTCGGTCTTGGTCCAAAAAATGCCGGCTTTAATGAACTTGAAGAGATTGAAGAGCAGCGTGAAAACATTCGAATTGGTGTTTCTGGTATCAGAAAACGTTTTTTATTAAAATAAATAAATTGTCAGGATGAAAATGTAAAGTTACAAAAAGTATAAAAAAACTGGGTAATTTTGTACGATTATTAAAAATTTGGGTTCTCCGTCTACATTAGGAAAGAATAAGCTATTTATTTATGTGCTGATTACTAATGTCAGTGTTGTAAAATATTGGAAGCTGGTATATGAACTTTATTAAGGACTTTTTTCTTCTTCATCAGAGAATGGAGAAAGTAATTGTTTACCTGAATTATAAAATCTTGAATAAAATATTTTTCAAACACAAGATTTAAAAACAAATTTTAATCTGTGATTGAATGTTGTCTAATGTGAAAAATAGTGTTTAATTGTAATAATAATTTATTAACACCTTAAACTCAAATAAAATGTTAATTGGTAAACAAGACAAAAAATTTGTTTTTACAAGAGTGGTGGTCAAATCCCGCTATTCAATCTATTATAAATAGCCCAAGAGTTGATGGTGGGTGATGTTGACTAGCTGCCTTCCCTTTAGTCTATCACTAATTAGGGACAGCTAGAGCCCTCATGTAGCTTTGTGTAAAATTCAATATTAACTATCAGAACTATTTATCGAATAATTTTTTTTATATTGTTACGCCTCCAGCCGTTAGTTAATTTTTCGTAAATTCGTTCCGACGAAACTTTAGCGACCCAAGTCCTTTCTTAAATAAAACTGGTTTATTCTTTCTGAATATAACTTTACGATACACTTAATTTCAACAGTCGCTCTATAACAAACACTATAACTCACGTCTCACGTGGCCAACAATATTCTGTCTGCATACATTCAATTACTCATTACCTCCTCGTCGCTTCGTGGCCGGTCTTATATAACACAAGACTACATTATATCCAGAAGGATCATGAGATTTAAGGAAAAGACGTGAATGTTCGAGAATGACGTGGCGTGATACTAGTCACGTGACCTCGTTGTCGTAACAATATTAATAAAAATTATATAATAAATTTGGAAAATATTATGAAATTGTTAAGGTTTAAGGTTTTTACTGTATACATTGTAAACCAAGCAATTTTACCCTAACACCGTATTATGTAATTAATGAAGATGTGCTTTTGTAGGTGGAGTAAAGCAATTACAAGAGCTTGGAGTCACAGAGGCTTTTGTTGATTCTTGTGGTGATTCGGAAGGTATGAAAATCATTCTGTATGAAGTAATATAATAATTGGGGTAAGAAATCTGGTTTACATATTATTTTTATATGCTTTACTCTGTGCGAAACTCTTCATTGATATTATCATTTGGATAACCTACAACTTAGCTGCTATGATAGCAGTTAATGGTGAAATTTCTTAAATTGTTAAAATATAATTAGAAAATTCACTTCAGAGAGAATAGTTGATGCTAATTTGCTATACTTATTGAACATAGCTTGTGACAGGTTACTATAAATTGTATATAAATTTTTATTTTGTAGTTTAAGTCGTCATTCCAAAACATGTAGCTCAAACCAACAGTGAGTGTTTGTGTTTCCTAAGTAAGGTATACTATGTCATTTAGTTGTTGTTACTTTCATTAACAGTATTGGTTAATATAGTGAATGTTGTTACTTTTTTATTATCATACTTTTATTATAGAGGGTGTTTTGAATTGTTAGCTTGATATATGTGTTTAGGACTAACTTAAATCTCTGAGATGGTCAAACCACATGAGATATTATTGGGATTGAGGCCAAAAATATTGTTAACAGTAAGGGTGAAACAATGTATTCTAATATTTAGAAGTAGGAAGGCATTTTTTAATTAGTTATACTGATCTTCAGGCTGATTTTTAGTTTCTCTCTAGGAACATAGCTTGTTCTGATTGGAAGTTAATATTAATGAGAAGCAAAATCACTCAAAGATAAATCATTCCCTATAAAAATTAAAATAGGATTTTTCTGCTATAAATTTACCGTTTAGAATAATGGTGTAAGAATTGCAATTACTGGCCCTTATTACTTCAGTAAGTAAACCATTCAAAAAAAAAAAAGAATAATTCTGATGGAGCATTATGAATGAACAAGTCTAAGCTTTTGAAGCTTTGCTGGTTCTTTTGGTAGTTTCATGGAAACTCCTTTAAGTTGAATCATGTTTGATTTTTTTTCATAATTAATTTCTCGACGAAAGTGTTTCAGTAGATGTATGGACAAATTAGATTATGCTACTTACTTTACTTTTTTATTTCTCAGCTGCAGCTGAGGGGGCCTCTCTTAGCCTTTTTACTTATGATGAACTGAAGAAAGAATCTTCTCGGAAACCTAAAGTTGACCTTCACCTTTTTGATTCAGAAGAAGCGTGAGTAGTAAATGTAATCGTATGTGCGGAGAGAGAGAGAGAGAGAAATGGAAATATTTTCTGGTGCATAGAAATGAATTGTATACTTTTATCTTTCTACATAGAAAATACTTATTTTGACTTGTGCACTGTGTGTGTGTGGTTCAAGAGTTTAAATGATTAACTACTAGCTACTGTTGGTTATTTTCAAGTGTTTTGATAATAAATTTACAAAAAAAACGACCTTTATACTCCCGATAATTATAAGAAAATTTTATTTTAACCAACGTTTCACCTTTCTGGCTTCTTCGGGTCTAGTGTATAAAACTGTTAATGTTTAATGATGTATGCTCAATTTGTGATGGTAGAACTAACATTTTAGGTTTTTTTTTGGGGGGGGGCATGATAAGTGAATGAGTAAATTGCTTGTAATATCAAACAGTTTTATGTACTAGCCCTGAAGAAGCTGCAAAGGTGAAATATTGGTTAAAATGAAAGTTTCTTTATAATTATCTGGAGTTTAAAGGTTGTTTTTTCTAACTTTATTATCAAAATGAATATAAGAATGTATTCAAAATTATGTAATTTATTAATTAATTTATTTATTAATGCGTAATTAATTTATTAACGGAAATTTATTAAGAAATTCAAAAATATGCTTAAAAGTTTTTAGCAATGAATGTATTTGAGGAGTATTATTAGTATTTTGTGTATAGGCTAGCCTAACCAGTTGCTAAGTACATAAGTTTGTTTTCTACTAAAATAAGCTGGACTTAATTTAATTAAAAGCGACGTTCTAGTTTTCATATTGCTAAAGATGTGAAACAATTCTAGATCATTAGCATCTTGGAAAAGAGGACTTACTGAAGCAGAAGGTCAGAACTTAGCCCGCACTTTAATGGAAACTCCCGCAAACATAATGACCCCTACCAGGTTTGCTGAGCATGCAGAAGAGGTTCTGTCAGACAAAGGTGTTTCCGTGATAAAAAGGTTCACGATTTATTTTTATTCAGCATGATATGAATGTTATTCATTGCTTTCCAAACATTATGCATATATATATATATATATATTGGCCCGGCATGGCCAGGTGGTTAGGGCACTTCACTCACAATCTGAGGGTTGCGGGGTTGAATCCCCATCACACCGACACAAGCTCGCCCGGTGTCCGAACTAGGACGTAAGTCCTACTTCCGGATACTCACCTCCAACAGAATTTGGAGGTGTGAGAAACCATACGAAACTACATATATATGTATATATATTTTTTTTTCTTAAGTTTATTTTTTAAAAAAAATTTTATTTTGTAGATGTGAGAGGTGTGGAGGTGTGGAATTTATTGCTGTTTGATTTAAGATTTAAAGATATTTTGATTTTTATTTAACTATATGAGTAAATCTAAAGATTTACATATGCCATAGTATAAGGTTTTGGATTAAGTTAAAGTTCTTAATCTATCGTACTGTGAGTGAGTTATTCAACTGATATTGTGGGTTCATCATTGTGTTTCATTTATGATATCAGAACAATAAAACAGTAGTTTGGATATTTGTGCTTGTTGATTGAAAGTGAAACTTGGGAAATATTTTATTAATTCTGACATTAATTCTTTTTGGAACTTACAAAACAGGTTAAAAATGTAGCAACTTTCACCTTTTTGTTAGCCTCATCTGATTAAGACATGAGAAATACTAAGGTATTAGAGGACCATATGATCCCTTTACCCGTATAAACAAACACGGGCCTCCTAGGGAAACTTTAAAAACTTTAATTTTCATCCCTATCCTTTATTTTTGCTTAAAATAGGCCAAAACAATTCTATAAATTTGAGGGTAAACCTTTATTTTTAACCAAAAGCAAAATTTCCAAAACTTTAATCATGATATTATCCACGGAACTATAACTATTTTGCAACATTTCTGATATGGAAGAAAAAATTCAGACGGCATTATCAACCAGCGATATGAGAACTTAAATGGTAAAAATCGCTGTCATCACACACAAACTAATGGATTTCTTGACAGGAATTGGCATTTATTATTATCAAATATAAATTATTCATTTAACTCGGTCTTTTGGTGTGTGAAACCACAGTTTGCTCTTTTTTTTTTTTTTTCACAGTGGCACAATGGGAAATGTGTAGACATCCAAATAACAATAAAAATAGATAAAAACTAACAGTAGCCTGTCACATCTCTATACATATCGGAAAAATGTTTAAAATATTAACAAACATCATCACATAAATTATTCCACAAATGTATGACCAGCAAAGAAGATAGTTCTGGCTTGATCTAGACATCCACAGCTTATAATTATTGCTCCGAGTAATCAAATTTACACTTATTTTACCTTTTTCACTAAAACAAACCACCAAAAATCAGATTATCTTAGCTCTTAATAAGTTTAAACACTTGAATCAAGTTCTCCTGTCTTCATACACACCAAGTCTAAAATCTTCCAAGCTTGTAGATAAGTTATTCTGAGGACCAGGTATTTTAGCGGTCATCTCAACACGCTTTCCAACACTGTTGATACCTTTCCTGTATTAAGGAAACCAAAACTGTAAGCAACTTTCTGAACTGACAGCTCACGATACAATGTGAGTATGCTTCTCTCAACAAATGTTTTATGTATCCATTAGAACCTACTTATTTCTACAATGGACCAGGCTTGCCCTAATGAGTAGCATGCTGGACTGCGAACCTGAGGATGCATGTTTCACATCCTGTTCCACAAATTTGAGCTCTGCATTTTGGGGCTACATGTGTGTGATATGAGTATTGGTCAAATTCTATTTTTTGATTAGAGTAGCTCAAGAGTTATTGGTGGCGGTTATTGACTAGCTGCCTTCCCTTTAGTCTAAGTTCAAAATTAGGAAGAGCTTGCACAGATTGTTTAGCTTTATGGAAATATTAAAAACAAAACAATTCTCTTTACAAACCTTTTATTTATCCAGTAAAATATGCTTATTTCCTCGTGCATTTTTTTATCTTCTATTATCCTCTATGCTATACATACAGAAGAATGAGAAGGCTTTGGCTCGTGTTGAATATGATTATTAATATTTTTGTTTGCATCTGTGACTGATTAATTTTGATTGTGTGCTTGTGACTTCATTAACAGGTTTCTGTGTGATTGACTGTGTCATTTCTTAACTTATATCTGCCCCCATGATTTCATAGTAAGTAGTGAGGCTATAGATAACACAAAGAAGCTTTTAGACGAACAACAGCTAGTAATCTTTTGTTAGAGTGAACAGTTAGTGTTGCTCACTATCCTTGGAATTATTCCATAATAAGTAATGAAGTTATAGATAACACACAGTTTTTAGAACAACCACAGTTATTAGTACATTATTAAAGCATATAGCTAATTTGATGACGAGGAACCCACTTCGAGACTAATAATGGTTGGAGACAGCTTGAATGGGTAATGAAGAAAAACTTTAATATAAATTTAACATAACAGCAAATGTACATCATCAGGTACCTGATGATGACAAAACCTTGTCGAAACGTTGTACATTTGCTGTCATGTTAAACTTATATTAAAGTTTTTCTTCATTACCCATTCAAGCCATCTCCAACCATTATATAGCTAATGTTTCTGACAGCTGCTTACTGTTATTGAAATTACTCAGGTGAAAGGCTGAATTTATCTTTCAATATAAACCTGCATCACAACATAACTTATCTAGTGTTTGAGTTGTTTGTATCGTTTTTTTTTAAATGAAATGTACCCTTCCTACTTTTATCAGAATTTTAGAATTATCTAAATCAGAATGGTCTGATCTCTGATTCAGGCTTTTTGATGTATCACTTTCCATACAGAGTTTCTTTAAGAGATTTAAAAGGTATTGTGGTTATGCAAACTAAAATGAAACTGAAGTTTGAAAGAGGTAAAATTATGTTTAAATTACAGGGACAAAGCTTGGGCAGAATCAAAGAAGATGGAAGCTTTCTTAAGTGTAGCAAAAGGTTCAGAAGAACCACCTGTATTCTTGGAGCTTGCCTACCATGGTATCGATAAGGGTGTAAAACCTCTCGTCATTGTGGGAAAGGGAATTACATTTGACAGGTAGGTCGTCATGAAAGCGTTTCAAGTGGTAATAAGTAACCAGAGGTTTTTGTAGCAGCGTGGCTTCAAAAAATGAGACTATATTTTATAAAATGTTGGTGTACTAGAAGAAACTGAAGACAGGTTACCATATAAAGGCCAGTTTTACACTATTGGGTATTGTAACATGACTGCACATGCGCTGCATCATTGCAACTTGTGTAATGTTAGTTAGGCATAGCTGAAAGATAAATTAAATAATAAAAATATGTATAGATGTATAATTTAGACTAAACATTTATGGTTTTGTGTTATAATTTGTAGTTATCCTAGAACAAAAAAAGCATAATTTATATCTATTTCTAATTTTTTTTATTTTGGTTATGAGGTTGGTTTCTGGGAATGAACCCATAGTGAGAGAGTTAATGTATCGTGCACAAGGTTGTCCAGAATTTGTTGTATAATTCTTCGTTTGTCAAATAATTGTTTAACAGTTTTTGAGACTGAAATATGTAGGATATTTAAAAATAGTCATTTATATGGTGTTAGCTTCATATATGTTTATTTCTAAATTGTCTTATGTGATTTCTTTAGTACTCATATGTGTTTTCTCTTTGGATTTAGCCAAACGATTAAAATTTATTATGTTACAGAAGTGTACAGAGTAAAGATATACTGTGAAGGATTGAAAAGTGCATATTTTTTCAGTGGAGGGATATCCCTTAAACCAGCAGCAGGAATGGAAGCTATGCGTGGGGACATGGGTGGAGCTGCCTGCACTATTGGCACTATTTACACTCTAGCTGCTCTGAAGGCACCTGTCAATGTTATTGGTAGGTTACTTTGAATTCTTTCTATTATAATATTCTTGCCCCCTGATGGCTCAGCAATAAGTCTGGGGGCTTATAATGCTAAAAGTCAGGTTTCAAACTTTCAATGGGCAGAGCATAGTTAACCCATTTTGTAGTTTTGTGCTTAAAAACAGACAAACAAATACTATTCTTTTGTTCAGAGCCAAATGGTCACACAAGGTTATCCAACAGCTTCTTTTACTGATTCTAAAATGAAAGAAATTGCATATTTCTATTGTTTCCCCTTACAAAAACTAAACTTATGTTGTTGTTTTTTCTGGTGTAATAAATGTATAATCTATAATAAAAATGAATTTTGACAATAATTATATTATTATATTCTTATCACATGGAAAGCTTGGTCCAATTTTGTAAGACCTTTGTAATTGTACAAACCTCAGATGTTTGTCTCTTTATTTGATATGAATATGTGACTGCAATTCTTCTAACCTATAACTTTCATGTACAAACATTTATGTAAACATTAAAACATGAACAATCAACTTGTAAGATGTGGTTTGAGTGAGAGGTGTCCAGTCCCCACCAAATGGGGGAAAAAAAGGAAATTATAGAAGCATGTAATAACCATGTCCAAAAAAGAAGTGTCTTGATTTTATAATGAAACATTATCTGCAATGGATCATTTATATAAAATTATCGATATCATAATGTTTAGTTTACTTTCGTTTGAACCATCATTTTTACAAGTTGGAATTATTTATGTGTTCAATATATGGAACAATGGAATAAATATCTTATTCTTCATTAGGCTTAATTCCACTCTGTGAAAATATGCCCAACGGAAGAGCAAATAAGCCAGGTGATGTTGTAACAGCCATGAATGGAAAGACGATACAGGTCAGACATTAGTGTAAAACATTTTAATAAAAATGATATCGAAGCCTTTAATAAAAAATGTTTCTTTTAATCAAAAACATGATACTTTAAATGGGACTAAAACAACTAAGAAAAAGTTATGACCTTTAGATGTGTGTAGGCTTTTTTATTTACACGGAATCAGTAAAAATCTATTACTTTCTGGATTGTACATGGTCTGGTCCTGTCTTTAAGATGAGTTTTCTCTACTGCGACTATTCTGTTAAGGTCTGGACATGATGTAATAGTCTACATGATGGGTTGTGGGTCGAAGGATTCAAGGTTTGAAATCTGATGGTACTAAATATGCTCTCCACTTTCAGTTCTGAGTGAATTATACAAGTAACAGTCAATCCATTTATTTGGTTCAGAAAACTGGACAAAGCCCTCTTGGTGACAGGTGCTACTGCCTTGTTTGCCTACGCTTTAGGCAAATTGTGGGGTTAGCAGCGTGAACTTCGTACATTTGCCATAAAATATCACGCCTGTTGGTGGTTACTCTCGTTCAGTCCAGCACGGGTGCATTTGTACATTACTGTAGATATGAGAGTAAGAAAGTTTTTCGGTACTTGAATATCATTTCTTTGAACTTCCAAACAAGTTTATTTCAACATATGTCCGTGTATGTTGTTTCACTATACAGACAAAACTAATTGCCACTACTAGCAAATGTATCTAATAGTTTACAGTACAGGTGGTTTGAATAACACCTCCTGACCCTAGTTACTTGATACATCCTGTTACAAGAGATTACCACACGATACAGACACCATAAATTACTTTACAGCACTTAAAAGATTAGTCCTGGTCACATTCCTCTCATTATAGGCAAGATTTATATTGGAATTCGAAACTTAAGCTCTTCAGTGTACTGACATCTCAACTGTGAGAATGTCACAGCTTCCCCTGTATTATTGAGACAAATCTGTTTAGTCTGTTTCACAACCAACATATGGGTTTTATTGTTTTCTTTTGTACACTGAGTTTTAAACCATCTGCAAAATACCAGAATTAGCTTTTTATATATCATTTAGTGTTTTGATTATAAAGCAACAACAACAGAAGTGTGGGTCTTACTACAAAGTAAAGATAGTGAGAAAGAAAAATGTAAAATTCTTATGTGGTACTAGTAGTATGTACAAATCACACAAGGTTATCATTTTAAATACTGAATAATATTTTTATTATTATAAACTAAATATAAAATTATGCTAATTATTGAACTTAAAACTACAAATTTAAATGCAAAATGATATAAAAATCACAAATTCTTTCAGTTCAAAGTGCTAAGCCTAATTCACATAAAGACCATGCACTCGCCACTCTATAGATCTTAACCCTAACATTCGTGGATCAACTTCTTTCCTAAAAATATATCTATTGGGAGTTAAATTTTCAATATAATGATTAATATAAATAGAAATACGATACATCATGATTTAAGCTACTGTAGAAAAAGTCACATCCCATGCAGTTTATTCCAGAAGCAAATTTTCTAAAGCTTATAAAAAAAAGCATTATTGACCACTACTAAATACAACTTCTATATAAAATGTCAGTTACTATATAAACAGCACCACTCACGTTCATATTGTAAAATCCAGAGAACAATATTTTGTTACATGTTTTGCTTATCATCCTATGATTTGTCAAACGTGAAATACAGCGTTTGGATTAACATGGCACTGAAATTGACTAGGATTGGCTAAAAGTTTTACAACTGAGGTTTAACACGCCCAGACACTGTTTTATAATGAAAACAGACTAGAAAAAGTTTAGATACCAATCATAGATGGCAGGACCAGTGCTAAAGTACAAGGAAAACATTTTGAGTTTTTTTTTTATTAAACTTCTCTTCAAACTTCATTAAGTAATACAATTAAGGACAAATAATTGAATGTTATGCTACTATTTACAAAAATAAAATCTCAAATCCAATAAAAGATAAGTTCTCTATAATTTTTTCAATTCACAAATATGATTCTGTTCTCACGATAAGACAAAATGGTGGCCCCTGGTAGGTAAGGGAGGTAGAACAGGTTGCAGAAAACTACTGCCATGAGTGTTATTTCAAATTATTTCAAACCAAAAGGTAATTGATGGCTAAGGTTCACAAAGCTAGGATGATAAATTGTTTAAGAAAAGAAAAAGAGTACATTTTTTTATTTAAGCGAAACTCAAGCATTTAATGAAATAATTCCAAGTTTGTGGAATTTAACCAGAAATGTTTTCATCCAAATTTAATTTTTTTTAAATAATGACTGATTAATTTCTTAAAAACAAACTTGGTATTGAGTGGTTCATAACACTGTGTGAAAGTTTATTTTATTAATCCATATATTATTGTGATTTTCTATCAAAGATATTTACGTAAACATTTTGTATCAGTAGGTTGCAATTTTTGTTCAAAGTGTTTGTGCGATTATCTTAAATGGATTTAAAAAATTTTTATTTAGAAATTTTTAATTTTTAAAAACTATTTTCATGCATACGTAATTAGATATACATTTTATGATAAACCAAATTGTTTTTCCTGTTTTATTAAGTATTTCAGAATCATTTCAGATTGACAACACAGATGCAGAAGGAAGGTTAATCCTAGCCGATGCACTCTGCTATGCTTGTACCTTTAATCCCCTGTCCATTTTAGACATGGCCACTTTAACAGGTAAGATATATGATTACATGGTCCTGCGAATTTAAACTTCATAGAAGATGTTTTGGGTTTATTAATTTTCCATAATTCAGCTATGCGTATTTTGAAAATAATATTAATTGTTTTCTATCACGTAAGGATTTTTTTACAATTCAGGAAAAAAAAAACTCTTACTAAGATAAAGTTATTATTTCGTTTACCACAGTGAACATTTTTTGTTATTATGTTTGTTAAAAAAATACAAACAAATTGAAGAAAAGGGAAGAACGTTGAATTCAAATTAATATGCATCCTCATTCATCTGGATTTTTTTTCTGAAATCTACCTCAAAACTGTGTGTCTTTCATTTATGTATTGCATTATGATGTTTTGTGAAAAATCTGTATGTGATAGAGAAAAATGGATATCATTTTCGGATTCAGTGTACAGGAATTACTGTAGAACATGTAGAAATTTCAAAACAATAAACAGACAAAAGCTTAACGTAACTTTCATATTGCAGAAGAAACATTTTATGCAAGCAACTGAAGAATGATGATGATGAGTAGTAAGGCAGGCCTCGGGTTCTTATAACCACAAAATTCCAATGCAAACTTCCATTTCTCAACCACAGCTGGCAGTATATATGTACATATATTATAATTTTTATTTCATTGTTTTTTTTTTCATATTTAGGCTTATTCTTTTACAGGAGCCATAGTGATTGCCTTAGGGTCTGGTGCAACTGCTGTTTTTACCAACTCCTTTAAAATGTGGCAGATGATAAATCAGGTAAAAAAAAAAGGTTTTAAAATTTTTCTAAATCAATTATTAATTAGAATGTTTGTGTTACTTTAGTTTATAATTTATTTCTTCAGGTTTGTAATTAAAAGACTAGCATTCTTTTAAGAATTTATTTAAAAGGAAATGAGAAATAAATAATGAGTAAACTTGTGGATGGGTCTGTAAACGGACTTTTAATAGAGTCTGCCTAAGTGGAATCGACTGTGATTTAAAAGAAAAGCAGGTGTCAAGAGGTTTATCTTACCATAACAAATTCTTTTAAAATAGCTAATAGAAAAACCATAATAGAGTTTTTTGTAGATTATACATACAAAACTTGTATATGTATGTTAGCAAAAGTATAGGTGGCACTTGTTTTGTTAACAAATTTATGTACAACGTTTGTTATTTTCTAATAAAAACGTTACTTGTTTCTTCTAAAAATTTCAGAATCTTCATTTAGTATGCTGAATATGATTTAAAGGTATTTTTAGTTTGTTTTTTAATAATATAGTCATGAGAAATAATAGGTAAAGTGTGGTTATCATCAGAAATAGAATTACTGGAAAAATGTATTCTCATGATAATGTATTATTTGCTGCATTTTAGGCTGGGATGAGAACTGGTGATAGGGTGTGGAGAATGCCGTTGTTTCAACATTATACAAAACAAGTCACAGAATCTCATTTGGCAGACTTAAACAATGTTGGAAAACACAACCGACAAGCAGGATCATGCACTGCAGCAGCATTTCTAAAGGTTTGTTTGTTTTTGTTATTTATTTGTTTGATATGTATGTGTGTGTGTATATATATTCTTTTATTATTATTAGTCCAACATTAAACTGTTCTAGCAGGTTAGAACTAGACCTTTTCCATGCTCCAGTCTTTGTGTTAAAAAGGTTTTCATGCTATTTTTCACAAACACTGTATTGAAAAAGGAGAGCCAATCCTTTGGCTACTTTTCTCTTGAAAAGGTAACAAACATTCTCTGCAAGAGTACAGTTCAGAGTCAGTATAGGTCGAAACAGCTGATGTTTAGTCAATTGTCTCAGATGATCAGCAGAACATGAACAGAGATGTATTATTGATATCTGCCAAGCCACTAAATTTGAAGTTTAACAAATGGGTTATAAACTTGGAGAGTTTTAGCATACTTAAATAAAAACTGCTTGGTTTATTTTATCATAAATCGAACCAGGGATATGACACGCTGGAGATCATGAACAGTATTAGTATTATATAAGACAAAATATTTGTATATAATTATACAGATCAGACAGAACATGTGATAATATATATTATACATGCTGTTAAAAGTTAAAAGAAAGAGCTGTTAAAACTGATTATATCAAGAATAAAGTATGATATTAAATGTAGTACTTGTAATGGTCACAAATAATTAGCAGACACACGTCTATAAAAATAAACTTCTTAATTAGTATTCTTATAGCACCCTTACTTGAAAGAATTGTTCTATATATACATAATTACTTTTGAAGACTGAAAAAGGTTTTTAGTAAATATTAATCTTGTGTAAAGTTAAAAAAGCGGAATAAACATTAAATTTTTTTAGTCTTTCAATAATTAATTATTCATAAATTTTCTTCATAGAGAACTCTAATAAGTTAGTTTTCTTACTGATTATAAATCTGTGTACTTCAGAATGATCACATCAGTGATCAAAACTTTGTACCCGTTTAAAATACATTCCTCATCTCACCGTAAAAGCAGTAACTTGTAAAAAAAAATTAGAAATTGTTTTACGCAAGTTAAAGAATTTTAATAGGCTTTCATATTTTAAGTTTGTTTAACTATCTGTTTTCAGAATATCATGAGTAGGAATACTCTGACAACAAACTTTAATAACTTAATACGTGTGTGTTGCTTAGGAATTTGTTCCTGTTGACAACTGGCTACACTTAGATATTGCTGGTGTCATGGAAAATAAAGATGAAGTTCCATACCTGTCAAAAGGCATGTCAGGTGGGTGTATTGTTCATACAAAGAAATTTGCAATAGTGTGATGCTTTTTTTTCTTTCTTAGGGCTAGATTTTTTTAAGTACATGAAATTACAGAGACATTCTAAAACATTATATAATTAATACTTCATCAGCAGATAATAAAACATGTTATAATCAAAGTTTAGATGGTTTTGAATCTTCAGTGGAATATGTCTGCTGGAGTGGATGATGTTTCTGTCCCTATATTGAAGCCTTCATTGGTATTACATCAATGTGATGAAGACTTCATGTACTAAATCACTGCCAACTATGTATATTATATTTTTACGTTTTCTTATATATATATATATAATTGTGGTTTATAATAAACTTTTTCATTAATAATATTTGAAAACATGTTTTTGTTTTCCAGGAAGACCAACCAGAACAGTTGTTGAATTTGTACAAAAAGTTTTCAAAGAAAAAGTTTAAAATGTACCTTATTTACAAACTTATTTTGAAATTGGAATAGTCTTATTTCTGTAACTGGAAACATGTGTTTCTTTCCAGTAAGAGTATATCATGAATAATTTTCAACCAATGATAATATTGTGGTACTTCATCTGTATTATTAGTTTGAGTAAAGTTTACGTGTAAAAATACTAAAAATGTTGTCGAGTGTGATGCATATAAGACATTACACAAGTTAAAATTTAAACAGTAAAAGTACAGTGTCCTTTTTTTTTCCTAAATGAGCTATAAAATTAATGCGTGAAGTTTAAAAGTGACAAGAAATTGAATACAAGCTATGAATTGTTTGGTTATTTTACTTTTGTTTTTGTTGGATTTCATACAAAGCAACAAAAGGGCTATCTGGACTTTGTTGGATTTCATACAAAACCACAAAAAGGCTATCTGGACTTTGTTGGATTTCATACAAAGCCACAAAAGGGCTATCTGGACTAGCCATTCCTAAATTTAAAGTGATAAATAAACTCCAACTCAAATAAATTGATATGAAATCATTCGTGGTGACCATTTCAAGTAAACTTTAATACCTGGACTGAACAACAGGTCGTCACATATATACACAAGTAACTCCTTGTGTACGATCAATTTCAATAGTATTTAACAAGTTTCATAATTTATTTTCTTAACACACAATGAAAACTAAGCTAAAAGATTAATATTTGAGAGTATTGTATGTTGTTGTTGTTTCCCATACAAAAATTACTCGACAAACACTTTAACCAGTAAAGCATGTTTTAGTTCCACTAAATACAGTAACATTAATAGTAGCCTTAACCATATGGTTATGGGCAACCGTGTTCTGTGCACGAGGTTTTACTGAATTACATTCCAAATTCAATTAAGCAATCTTGTGATCAATGTATGCCAATGAAATTAGCATTAAAATTTACATGATGGTTCAAAGTTTTATAATTCCTTTATTTAAAACAAAACCTTTAACTTCAGTTGGACACAAAAGTTCACAAAGCATAACTTCTTGATGTATGTTAACCTTCCAAGTATATATATAGAATCCAGGTTAATTGCTCTGTTTACGCATTCTTCTTTCACATTCAGACAAAAGAAATTTCCTGGAACTCTTGATGGATGACATGCCCACTTTCTACACACAAAGTTGTGATTTCTCAGCCAATTATACTTAGTTGAGCTAGATGTTTAGAATCAACAGAAAGACCACATTTTAAAATACAATTTCCCAACAGTTATTTTGAAATTGGCACAAAGAATTCCATATGGAAACCATTCTTAGCATTGTTTCTCACCTATAACAGGGATTGAAATATTACATTCCCAAGGCATTTAACTTTGCTTGGGGAATTTCATCTTTTTAGTTGGCCTTCCCAATCAGGAATGCATGATCCATCCGTGTTCCTTTAGTTATGACCAATGAGAGTGAATATATTGCATGGATTAAATGAAAAAAAAAACAATTCATGAAGAAATACAACTTTACACGAGGAATGTAATCTTCATGATAGCCTTCCCTCGAGCGAATGTAATTTTATTTTTATCCCTGTATAAACGTTAGTTATATAGACAAATTGTATTTAGGTTTTAGTTAATTACATTTTAAAACGTATATTAGAAATGTTTAATAATTTTTTAAATATAAGACAAACTTCATCAGGCTTAGTGTAGTGTGTTCAACCCCGTAACCATACGGTTAACCGAACTGCTTTACATTGATGTGTAGTTTGTACTAAAGTTGAATATTTTATCTTAATTTAGAATTTCTTAGAACTATTTCCAAAAAAACTTTGATAAATAGTGTTAACTTTGTTTGAAAGATTAAAAACTGGGCTACATTTTTCAAATGACAAAAAATAGGTACTAACTTTTTAATAAGAAACTAAGCCTAAATCTGTTAAGCTGAATTCCAAGTAACTATATACTGACTGTTGATCAACGAGAGGCACCTCAGTGTGTCAGGAAGTGGATGTAAAGAGTCGAAGATCTATCCAGTTTTGGTGAAAGTTATAAAGGATGTAGCATACGATGAAATATGATGATTACAGTTTGATAAAGACTGACAGAGTAACGACTGGCCACACCAGCAGCGGAAACTTATAGCTAATGCCATTACTTGAGCCTTCTTTTCTGCCTGTTGTTGTATCTGTTCTTCAGTACACATAACTCCAAGCCCCGCTGACCGTGACTGGAACTTCGCTACTCTTTGGCACGTCATCATCAATCACCATTATTCCCTCGATTACCTGCATGAGCAAGGTTCCAAAATGTTCGACTTGCAGCTGCTGGGTATGCAATGATGACAGCCCCTGTTGCGGTGAAACCATCTATCAAGTCCTAAGATGTTGTTGGGACTCTGAAAAATACGTTTCTGACAAGGACAATAGTAGTAGCCTGCTGCCAGATCGTAAGATCAAGGTCTCCAACCTCAAATAGACAATGAAAGAAGGTCATATAACTTGATTTGGGAATGAAAAAAAAATAAAAAAATAGGGGAATAATGTGTGTGACTGTTACTGATAAGGTGGTGCAGCCAATCGAAAACTCCGAATAAATAAAATATATATGTTACCATCATGTGTGTTGCATATTTGGATACAACACCTCCAAGAAACAATCACAAAATTTCTTGTTACCCTGCCATCGAAAACCACTGCTAACGTTGTATATAAAAACTGATTTTTTAATTTTTCTCAGATAGTTCATATGAATGGCATTTTTTTTTACTTTTTTGGTAAGTAATAAAAACAAACTTCACTTTTTAAATATATACACACAAACATACGTTAAGCTAATTAACAAAGCTATGGAGTTTGTGAATACTTTACTTGTAAATTCCTGTGAAAAATGATGCAAGTATCTGGAGAATAAGATTTTGTCATACTTTATTTAATTATTATCAATTACTTAAATAAAATTACAGGAAAGGAATATTTATCCATATCATCATCACTTAGTAACTCGACAATTTTTAACCCGTAAAAATATATCTTAAACTTTCTTCCAAGCCAGATAATCATAGATAAAAATCTATTCTATGGCACAGTATGTTCAAAAATATGGATCTCAGGAAATCTTTCAAACTAGAACTTCTGTGAGTTCAAGCAAGTCCTTTCTTCTGCATCTCCTAAAAATAGAAATCAAATAATATCAATAACTACCCACTAAGTTAACCAAGTCCTTTTAGAAATTCCAAGCTACACAGAAACTATGATGAATATTAGTTGTATTTGGGGAAGGTATTTTGTGGACAGCACTTGGTTTGTGTTTGTTGGTGACATCGATGAGAATATTTATTGCAGAAATAATTTATTTTGTAACTTGTTTACTTTTTATCTTCTGTAGATTGTATTTGGTTTTAGTTTTGTTTAAAGGACTATGATACATCGAATGCTTTAAAAACAAGAACTATAATACACCAAACGTTTTATGAAGGACTGTAATATACCAAATGTCTTAATAAGTCCAATATTTTAACAAGGACTTAGATGTGCAAACTGGTAAAACTTACCAATAAGACTGTTGCTCCCATTTGTGCAGGAGATTTGGTAACAGTCACGTTGGCCTCCTTCAGAACTTCAATCTTTTCTTCAGCACCACCTTTACCACCAGCAATGATAGCACCCGCATGGCCCATTCTTCTACCAGGAGGTGCTGTTAAGCCAGCAATAAACGACACGACCGGCTTGGCAAAGTTACCCTGTTACAAGATATTTTAAATACGGATATCTGAGAGCATAGAACAATACAAATAAATCAAAGAATTACCGGTTGTTATCGTAACAACTATTTTTAATTATGGCACAACTGATAAGGATATGTGCTGCCAGGATGAAGGCAGTCAGTAAGCACCATCCACACTAAGAGACTGACTGTCACTCTTGTAATGCACCTACAGTTTAAAGTGCGGAGAATGTTTTGTTGCATCACATGGATTCGAACCTGGCTTGACAACTTCAAAATCTACGGCTAGATCACAAGACCAACCCGCAGTCACTTCTTGTCAGAACTGAGCCACATTCTACTTTTTCCCATTTTCCAATTCATAGAAACTTAAGAATTAACTTTTTCCATACCCTGTTGTCTGATGACTAAGAGAAAAATTAATACCTGTAAAATTATGGTAAGGCATTGAAAAAATATGAAATCGTAAGTTTTTTTTTTTATACACTAATAACTTACGAGTGGTTATTAGTGCTATCAGTACCCACGATTTTTTTCAGAGGTGCATTTCAATTTAAGCTAATTTGCTTGAGAAACTGCAAAATATATTAAATATAAGTCATTTGAATATTAGGTGCAAGAGTTTTTGAAGATCTATTTATCTAATAAAGTCATTTGTGTTCAGACTCGGCTGTTTTAATACCAAAGGAAAATAGTTTGAAATCTAAAGTAGTCTTAGATTTAAAAAAAAAGCCTATTTTACCTTCTGGGTGGGGAATAGAGTCAAACGAAATAGCTCCTAAGTGACACCTGGCTTTGAAATTTAAAAATTATAGTAATAAAAGCACTACAAATTTGGAATCAGTAAATTATTCATAATTATATATGAAAGGATTCTAATTACTGGTTTAGGTTTACTGTCAATATTCTCAAAAATTTAAAATAAATTATTTTTCAATAAGTTATTCTTAGCTTTAAAAAGATCTTAAGCTCTGTACTCGTCACTTAGATGAAATATAAATTTTTTGAACTTGTTACTGTGCAGCGTGACAGAATATTAATAATAAATAAACATTTTCGTTATTTGTATGATTTTAGTAGAAAGCTCCACAATGGGCTTTAAGCACTGAAGCCATAAATGATGATCACGTGCAATAAATTAGTAAATAAGATGTAATATTTTATTTTTTAAAATATTTTAGAATGAGGTAATACTACACACTGTTTAATAATTTGGTTTAGCTAATACACACACACACAATTTCTATTAAAACATCACTTAAGATTTCAGAAGAAACATATGTCATTTAATATCTAAACTTTGTTTTTGTTACCGTATTCCTGACACGTTATACAGATGAGGAGAGTCGAGAATTTGTAGTGTACATCACATGGATTTCTAGACAATGTAACTAGACTCGCACGTTATTTAATAACATTCTTCAAACTACAAGTGAACAATTAAATGGTAATCCTGAGTGTTTTTCACGTATTCTAATGAAATTATTCAGAAATTAAAATACTGCAGTTTGGAGGATACAGGAACAGAGATTTAACATAACTCCTGAAACTGTAGGCAGAACTACTGATGTTGAAGAAAAACGTGGTATAATAATGAAAGTGGAATATTTTAACATGTGAAACTACAGGCAGAACTACTGATGTTGAAGAAAAACGTGGTATAATAATGAAAGTGGAATATTTTAACATGTGAAACTACAGGCAGAACTACT